TGGTTTTCTCTTTTATTCTTATAAAGAATAAACATGTGCTACCCGTTAGCACATCTTGCAGGTGCTAACAAATTAACACATCTCATAGGTGCGAGCCGAATCAACACGTACGAATCCATTCGAGTTTGACCGAAGCCAAAACCACGAATCATTGCAACACGAATTGTTGCAAATGACCACCTATTGCAAATTATGCAATTAATGCTCCATCCTAAGCATTACCTCGTGAACAACACGAATCAAAGCAATGCTAATTACTTAGCACTTTGGGTGCTAATCTTGATTCAACGCACCGAATTGAGCAAATTCAATTCTTAGCTTTAAGCATATAGCTGTAAGTACTATATTAAGCCACAATTAAGCACTACCATTAATGCTAATTATATTTGGACGTTTAATATTACAATGCTAATTCAATTAGCATTTTCTATTAAGCTCAAGCTTAATTTTACGTCTCAACAATTTGTCTCAAATTACATTTCATACTAGCATAATTTAGATTTTTCATCAAGTTAATTATAACACAATTAACAATAACAAATCAACCAAATTTTCTGACTAGTTGAATCAAGCTTATATAATCGTACTCAGAATATTATTTAAAATATTCAACAATGGAGTTGTGACGCTCTGGATTATATAGCTATCCCAATTTTTGACGAATTGATTCTACTTTGAAATCTATATCGTTTAACATGAACTAAAACCGAAGTCCTTACGAGATTTCAAACATGTAACATGCTTGTTACATTCCGTTCCGGCCGTTAAGCCATTTTAGGATTTTCCACATAATGATACGTGATGCACTAGGCATCCATATTGAATCATTTCATACATTTGACATTATTTTAACAAATAATTCGTATGTACCAAGATTCAACAACTCAATGGAACAATTATATTTTTATTCAAAAAAGTATTACAGGGATACTACAATATTTATTCCACAAATAAATAAATAGAAAAAATACATTGGAAACAAATTCCTTATTCCTATCTCGTAGTAATCCTTCTAACCCATGTGCCTTGTTCCATTTTCCAACCGTCCACTCCACGAAAGGTGGTCCCATAGCGCACATCGGGGGTACCTGTTAAAGAAACCTCAGTTGTGACCTTACTCGTCCAACTATCCACATTCTTTAACCTTTTCACCAGGATGACGGTTCGCTTCATAGTGGCTGCTCACTTCTTCCACATAATCATCTTTAGGCATAAACTTTCGTTTACCTTTCCTTTGATTATCGTTGAAGACATTGGTCACACTACAATAGTCCTCAGACCATGTAGTGATTACACCATCATAGGATCCTTCGTGGCTTTTAGCCGATCCACTAGGCAACACATTAGGTACCAATTGTGTGCCACTAGCCACAGGTCTATCGGTTCGTGAACCAACGTTCTCCGGAGCACCATCGTGTGTTTTTGCAACTCTCATGAAAATATCATTTCCAACGTTTCTACCGTCAACCAGCATCACGGAATGTGCAACATCGTTGCCTTTCCGACCATTTGAATGTGCACCACAAGCAACATTCACGGTTCCAATACTCTTGGAATCCATCGACTTGTTCATTATAAAAAAATAAAGTTTTAAGATTGTTGAAAATAATGAACCAAAAGTCGATTTAATATCTCAAAATAATATTTATCTATACACAAAAATATATAAAATATTATTGGATATATATCCGAGAAATATATATACACACAAATATATATAAAATGGACCCAAAGGTTATATATACATATATATCTACGGAAAAAGATATATCAATATATATCAACCAAAATTGGAACTAATAATCCTCAAATTATAAATCCAATCCAACGACGAAAACAAATATAGAGAGAGGATTTTTGCTTAGAAGCATAATCCAAACCGAAAGAAGGAGATTGGCTCGTGTTTGGGTATAGGGTTTTTAGCGCGAGTCAAGAGATCACTCTTTCCTTAAAACCTTATTTGCCACCTCCCAAAAGTGCTAGGAGCGTTATGGCCTAGGATTCCCAGGATAAAACGTGTTACGGTTCGACGTTTGAGCACCCAAACGAACGAACCCGGCGAACTAGAGCAAAGCCTTGAACACAGTTAGGCAAAGAAAGGAGTAGAAGCAGAGATTTTTGGAGCTAAAAACGTGCAAGTGTGTATATGTATTGTTCTTGTTCACTCTTATTTTAAAAAATTCTGCTGCTCTATGCCTTCTTATTGTAACACCCCGTGTTACGACCCCTAAAACCAATTAATCATTTAATCAAATATCCGAAGAAAAAACTAAATTACAATAATTAACTTAGAAAAGGCCCACCATAGTCCGTGGGCCCTCACCCCTAAAACCCAACCCCTAACCCTAGAAGGAATAGAATTAGCAAGCCTATAATACTAGACCCTAATTAGGACTCCTAGGTGTATAAATAGGGGACATAAGAGGTACCTAGAACCCCACCACAATAATCTCTCACCACCCAAGGAGCTCCAAGAATTCCCTTAGGAGAAATCAAGAAAGAAGAAAGCTTAAAGAAAGACCCTTCATAGCCAAGGAATTAATTAAGGCTAAGAGGTAACCCATGTCTCAACAAAACCTATTTTCATAGCTATGATTCCCCCCTTAGGATTTCTCCCATATTCTTGTGTGTTGATGATTCGTTATAATGATCTTAATAATTGGTGTTATGACTCCATGGGTGATCTTGATGATAAGAGGTTCTTGATGATTATATGGTGTTCTTGATGTTCTTGATGTTCTTGATGATTATATGATATTCTTGATGTTTATATGATATTCCTACCGAATTTTGATATTAGAAGATGAATTGTGTTCTTGTTGATTTAAAAATAATTAGAACCCTAGGTTGTATCGTGGAATTCGTATGGTATTATTCTTTGTATATTGGGTGGGAATTCGTATGTTTGGGTGTTGATTATGTTTAGAAAAGCATGATAGGTTATGTGCCGTATGTTCTTGCTTTTGAATCCGTTAACTGTCTACGTGTTGTTGTCAATTGCGTTTGAAAGTGTCTAAGCATGGTCTCGGGTTCCACAATGGTTCCCGGGGCGTTTTTCTGTGATGAAAGAGTCAGTGGGGGGTAGGGGACCCGCCACCTACCCGCGGCCAATGTTGGTAACGCCGGCAGCGGGCAGCCGGCGGGCGGGCAGCTGCCCACCGGGCACCCGCTGCCCGGAAAGCTGCCGCCGGCGGGTGACCCCTCACCCACCGGCTACCCGCTGGATTTTACCCTACCTTGGGATTTTGGCTTCCCCGTTTGATGTTCCCCCGATCCTTGTGGTGTCCCAACGGACTCCGTCTATCGTGCCTGTGTCTAGTTTGATATTTCGGGTACCGTTCGTAGGTTGTATAAGTCTTATATATTGCATGCTAGTTGAATTGGTATCCCGTTGGCCTAGGTGTAAGGAGTATGAACCCCTTAGGATCACTCTTAGTATGTGGATGATCACGCATAGGTTTCGTTATACGATTTCTCCCCCCTCCCAATGTGCTAATGTGGGCTGCATGTGCTTGCTATGTGTTATGTGTGCATGATACCCCAATTCGGTTGCGATCGAATTGGTTATTCCTGAGCTGCGGTTCAGAAGCTGGCTGCGGTCAGATTTACACTCTTGGGCTGCGGTCCACCGTTTGGTTGCGATCAAACGTTTCTACATGAGCTGCGGTTCATATTTCCTGGCTGCGGTCAGATGACATACTCTTGGGCTGCGGTCCACTGTTTGGTTGCGATCAAACACTATGATGAGCTGCGGTTCATTGGTCGGTTGCGATCGACCCCTCCGTGTTGCGATACAGGGCAGGGTGCTGCGGGGCCGTGTCAAAGCTATATGCGCTGACCCTCATGTATGGCCATGCGATTGGTCCTGTGGCGCCAACAAAGTGAGCTATGTGATGAGATATGGATGGTTTGATGTTATGATTGTACGAAGGCGTGACCATATGACACATGTTAGTGAACTATACATGCTTGGTTATGATTATTGTGTTTACCTATATTTGTGCCCTACGTTGAGAATTGTGTGTGCTTGGTTATGTCTGTTGGTTGTGTTTATCCCTATCTGTCGAGTCCATTCCCTGTTTGAAAGCTAGAGTCTCTTAGGATATATCTTCATGCTTCGAAATGGTTTTTCATATAACTATGTATATATCTATATGTATGTATTTCAACGTGTTGGAGTGGGTTACTAGCATCTCTCGCTGAACAGATATATTTGGCTTTCAGGCACAAACGAGTAGATCACTGGAGCGCGCTAGAGGTTTGGGGCGTAGATTAGATAGTTTTCCCTTTTGGCCTGCGTGCCATGATTTGTATTGATATTGACTGAGATTGTTAGAATTTAGCCTGTGCACCTGAGTTCTCTAGCTCAGGTGTGGAATAGCACCCCGTACTCTTTATATTATGTTTGGGAATTAATGAGATTTCACCTTTATTATATAAGCTTCAAAAGTTTAAAAATTTTGGGGTGTTACACTTATATAGGGATGTAGGACCTTAATTGCATTAAACAAGACCATTAAACTTGACTTTGTAACATCCGAAACAGCAAGCCATTACCCAGGATTTAAATTCAAAATTGAAATTGGAGTTAATTAAAAATTAAATCCGTAACTGAAGAATTTAATCCCACATTTGTCTGTTGGCCTTCAGCTACGGTTCGGCCTTAGGCTAAGCAAGTGTTGGCCTGGACCGAGCTCATCTCGATAGCTCGGTCTTGGCCGAACCCAAGTGACTACTTTTGTTGGAAAAATGATACTGAAAGTCGGCATAACTTAGCCTGCAAGGCCAGCCAATTTCCGGACGACATTCGTGCTCGCAGGTGCCGGCACACACGAGCTCAGACTCGTATCAAGCCTTTCCAATCTCAGTTTCGGATTTAATTTGCACCCCTCCCCCTACGCGCGATAAAAAACCTCTATGTTATACATTCAATAAACCTCTAAAGGACTCTTGTATAAATAGTGGGGCAAATCCTCTTCCCAAACCAATGTGGGAGAAAAGCTCACTTTTCCCCTTCATTTTTTCCAACTCAATGGGTCTACTTTGAGAATCAATATCTCATTCACCCATTATCCATTTTGAGCGTACAATATATCAATATCTTCGTCTCACTACGAAGAACTCGAATCCACTTTGACCCGACCCAAATCAGAAGTGGACCCCACTGATAGTTGTACCCCAAAATAGCCACATAACATGCCATTTTAATGCTATTTTTCCAACAGATTTTTCTCTCCTCGGTGATTTGAATCATAGTAGCTTGATCTCCGTTTTCTTTGCAATATATGGCTAATTGGCAAAGGGGCAGTTGCGCTTCGGTCGCTGGACAGAACCGAGGCAGTGGAAGTTGGAATCGTGATCATCCATATCGAAGTCAGCAATGTGACAGTCATGGCTTTAATGTTCAATGTCAAATTTGTAATGGTTTTGGTCACACAGGATCCAATTGTTTTCAGCGCTATGATGATCAATGTCAAATTTGTAAAGGTTTCGGTCACAAGGGAGCTAACGCTTTTCGGCGCTATGATGATCAGTGTCAAATTTGTAAAGGTTTGGATCACACGGGAGCCAGTTGTTTTCAGCGTTATTCAGGGGCTCCAAGTTTGCAGTCTAATTTGGTGTTTCAAGATGGTTTGGGTGTGTTAAAACCTCGTCAAACTCTCATACTTGGGTTCCGGAAGCTGGAGCCACAATTCATGCAACTCCAAACGTAGCAGCCATTTCTACCTCGGAGAAGTACACAGTACTGGTAATGACACTTTACGTGTCGGTGATGGTATGTGCCTCTCTATTAGTCGTGTTGGTCATGCTAGTTTTGATACCCCTTCTTGGTTTTTTACGTCTGATATAGTGCATGTTCCTGGTCTGTCTACCTCTTTATTATCTGTTCAACGTTCTGCTACAGATAACAATGTGTTCTTTGAGTTTCATCCTTCCTTTTTTCTTGTGAAAGATATCACCACCAAGGAAATCCTCCTACGAGGCAGTAGTTCGGGTGGCCTATACACTTTACCTGTTCTAAATTCACATCTTTCTGTGTTTCTTTTTCTCTCCGCTAGTGCTTCCGCTTCGATTTGGCATGATGGGTCATCCTCATCAGCGTGTCCTGAGTCAAATTCTTCCGTCATGTTCGATTAGTGGGTCTACTCGTAGTATTCATTGTGATTCTAATTTATGTTCATCGTGTCAATTGGATAAATCTACACGTTTCCCTTTGGCACGTGTTGAGTCTAGCACTTCAGACATTCTTGATTTGATATACATTGATATTTGGGGATTAGCTCATTTGCTATCTTCTAATGCTTGTCGTTATTTTGTCATCTTTGTTGATGATTATTCTCGTTACACTTGGTACTTTCCTATGAAGCAAAAAGCTAATCTTTATGCCATATTTGATCATTTTCGTGCTTTAGTTGAGCGTTCATTTAATCCTAAAATCAAGTCCTTTCAATCTGATCTAGGAGCTGAATATAAGAAATTACATTCCTCATTTGAACAACTAGGCATTAATCATAGACAATCATGTGCATATACTCACGAGTAAAATGGATGTGTTGAACGGAAACACAGGCACATTGCTGAAATTGGGCTCACTCTTATGGCTCATGCCTCTATTCCGTATCATTTTTGGGATTTTGCTTTTGAGACTACTGTTTATTTGATTAATGAAATGCCTTCTAGTGTCTTAACCAATTCTAGTCCTCATCATGTGTTGCACAAGTCTCCCCCTTCCTATTCTTTTCTCCGTGTCTTTGGCTGTCTGTGTTATCCTCACTTAAGACCATACAATCGTCACAAAATGTCATACAGGTCTTCTCCTTGTGTCTTCCTAGGTTATCTTGAGTCTTTTAGGGGGTATAGGTGCATGGAGTTATAGACTAATAAGATTTACAAATGCAGGCTTGTCAGATTTGATGAAAACGTATTTCCTTTTACTACTAAATCTTCCTTGCAGGCTGCACCACCTACTCAGACTGCTCACTGGCGGAATATATTCTCCACCATGACGTCAGCAATGCTGCATCAAATTCCGTGCATCTAGATTCGCCGCCAAAGCCCGTGTTGCCGGACGAGCCCATGCAAGCTGATTCCGTCCAGCCTACGTCATCCTCGGCCGAACCTGTAGAGGCTGCACGGCGTCCGCGTGGCAAATCGATGAGGCCAACCATCCGCACTGACTCTATGGCAACTTGCAGTAAGTCTCAGGCTCCTCCTATGGCTCTGGCTGCTCAGGTTTGTCCTACAGAACCTACGTGTTACACTTAAGCTAATAAATATCCTGAGTGGCGTGAAGCTATGGACCAAGAATTTAATGCTCTACAACATAATCAGACTTAGTCCCTAGTTCCTTCCACCACAAGTATGAATATTATTGGGTGTAAATGGGTGTTTCACACGAAAAGGAAGGCGGATGGAACTATTGAGAAGCACAAAGCCAGGTTAGTAGCAAAAGGTTTCAATCAAGTTCCAGGTCAGGATTTCGTTGATAAATTCAGTCCAGTGGTGAAACCCACAACTGTAAGGCTTCTATTATCCTTAGCTTTATCATCTGGATGGGTTATCAAGCAGCTAGATGTGCATAATGCTTTTTTAAATGGAAATTTGGACGAAACTGTTTATATGAAGCAACCCCCGAGTTATATTGATGCTAGTTTTCCACACTTTGTCTGCTTATTAAAACGTTCCATGTATTGATTAAAACAAGCTCCTAGATCATATCCGTTGGTTTTCAAGCATAAAAAACAGATGTTCCACTTACTCTCAAAATTGTCTACCACTTTAAAGCCCTAGTTACCCCATGCATGTTCATAACTGTTTACCACTGAGGCCCGAACCCACAACCTCCCATATAGAAGAGTAACTTGGTGTTATTAGACCATAAGATCATTGACGCACTTAATGCTTTCTAATCATTAACAATTTTTTTTTATTGCATTTAAGGAATAATAATAAAGAAAATTATAAAAAGAAAAAAGTGTCAATGGTATAAAAAAAATGTAAAGATATAACACAAACAACACAGTGAACAAACATTTAATACAACTTATATTACTAACATAATTTTAATTTCAATTAAGAACTAGTATTATTGACTCTTTCTAAATTTTAAATTTGTTGCACTAATCTATATACCTATTTTCTTTTTTGGGCTAAAGTAATTCATTAAGATTTTAAAAATCAAAATTAGATTATTTAATATAATAATAATAATAATAATAATAATAATAATAATAATAATAATAATATTAAAAAAGAATGAATATTAATAATAAAATTAAAAAGAATGAATATTAATTTTTTTTTAAAGACTAGTGTTATCAAAGAGGGTCATTATATCAGGGACTGCGGTCAAAAAGGCGCTGTTTCTTTCAATAAAAAAACGGTGCGCCGTTAGTGTTAACGGAGCGCACATTTTTTTGTATGTTAATTATCAACTAATACTACAGTGTATCTAAACTGACACTATAATATATCTAAATCGACATTTTATCACGTACTATTTTTATATTATCAAATGAAACTACAGTTATATCAAAATGATACTGTAGTTGTGGTGAAATGAAACTGCCATGTATATAATATGAAACTGAATAATATTTCACATATTTGTGTGTATATTGTACAATGAAGCTGTAATTATATCAAAATGATCATGTAGTTGTGTCTTAATAAAACTATAGTGTATATAAAATAAAATTAAATAACATTTTCACATATTTGAGTCTATAAATATCGAATGAAAATGTAGTTATATCGAAATGAAACTGTAGTTATGTTGAACTGGAACTACAGTGTATACAAAATGAAACTGAATAACATAGTTACTTTTTACGGAATGGTGCGGAACGACGGGAAACGGATGCCGTTTATTTTCATTAAACAAAACGACGTCGTTTTGATGCGCGGTGCATAATCGATTATGCACCGCGGTGCACGATATAATTTGCCTATCAAAGAGGCAATTCCTAATTTGCTCTAAGTACAAAATTCATACTCATAAGGTACAGAATTTTATAAGTGCTTGTATATGGATTACACTTGCATGCGAGCTTTATACTTATAGATAAGTATTATTATTATTATATATGTATATTTATATACATGTGAACCTATTTGACTTATATCTATGATCTTGATTGGATTAACGTGTTATATGATAACAAACGATTGTCCAATCTATATCTATATGTATTTTACAGGGTAGAGTGGTGTATACCTAGCATTCGTGCTAACAGGTTAATTTTGTATACCTTTTTACTTAACCCCTTTCAGGTTTGACCGATGATTGCTGAGCGCGTTATATATAGCTAGACGTAGTATAGAGTTTTGGGTTCTAGTTCTAGTATTTGTCAAACCTCTTAAACTAATCTTGATAATAGACTTGCGCAGTCTAGTTGATCCTTATTATGTTTTGTAGTGCATTGACACTTAGGCATGTGAGCGTTATTTCTTGTGTCGAGTTGAGCTTAGACTCCTGATATTGAGTTTGTGGGCCCTTAATGATGTATGATGACGATACGTTTTGTTAGTTTATTCCCGTGTAGTTGCTCTATTGAGGGTAGCTACTGGGTAGCATCCCCTTTTGTTTTGATTTTTGGGTAATTAGTATTTAATTTTCCTCTCTTTATTCCACATTTTTCTACTATGAAAATGGATGGACCATATACTCATCTTGTAACTAAATATCAAAGTTATAATATAAAATATGTTATATATTTATTAAAACTATCAATGTCAAATATGAACAAGTGATTGAGTTATAACAGGATAACTCTAAGGGGACGTTTGGTTCACGGAATGTTAGATTACCTTAGGGAATGTTAGACTGCTGAGAGTGTTAGATTCCTGTGTGTGGTTAAATCTGAAGTATGTAATATAACCATGTTTGATTTAGGAGTTATGTTATTATGCGATATTACTTTTTTATTTTAATACCCTTAACATATTTTCGTGTATTTCAATATATAAATTTTAAAATAAATAAGACAAAGGAAACTTATATTAGTTTGAACTTGAAAAACAAAATTACTTTATAAGCTTAGATGACGTAATAAGAAATAAAATAAAATATATAATTATAAAAATAATTAAATATGATACATATAATAAGCTAACATAAAATATACTATATATTTCATACAAATACTAATTAGAATTAAAATGTAAAAAATAGAAATTATGCACGGGAATCTTACAAAACCTAAGAGAAGTAAGGAAATCACATTCTCTTAATGTGACATTCGGAATCTCACATTCCCTTAGTTATATTATATAACTTGAACAAAACGACCCCTAATAAAAACACACCTAGTGGGACTCGAACCCACAATCGCTTGATTAGAAGTCAAGCGCCTTATCCATTAGGCCATGAGTGCTAATTAAAAAAGTATAACAAAGTAAAACTTTTAGTAGTGTAATAACTCATTGAACCAAAAGTAGTACTACGTATTTATTTAGACTATCATTTTTAGACTAGCGTTATTACAAAATTGCAAACATTTATTTCAGTGGCAATTATAATCAATCTCTCATATATTATCTTGGATTTATATACTTTGCATTACTTATTTAAATAAACAAATACAACATTCAACTACCGATGTTCATGCATCTCCTGTATAATCTTGAACTGTTATACTTTGAATTACTTATTTATAAATAATCATTGGGTATTATCTCATTCGCACAACACGCGTAAAAAACTAGTTATTGTAGATATAGATTTTATAATGGTGACTATGAAGAAAAAGTACTGACTGTTAGGCTAACTTTATCCCTGAAAGAATGGGACTTGCAAAGTGATGTGGCATGCTATGTGGAAAATAATTTTTTATATTATTATTGTTAGTTGTTTATTTGTACTGCAAGCTTGCAAAGTGTAATAAAAAGGGTTGATGCATGGAAACATGTAGCAGTATTTTTATACTTTATTTTTAACTTATTATTATTATTATTATTATTATTATTATTATTATTATTATTATTATTATTATTATTATATTCGTACTTTATTTATTATTTATTATTTTATTATTTTATTATTTTTTAAAATTATTTTTTGATACAATGTGAGAGTATGACGACTTTTAAAAGTGGGAGAGTATTGCTGAAGTGTAGAAAAAATAATGAAGAAATTACAAATTTGATGATATAGAAGTATGATCTATTTTTAAAAGTAAGAGAGTATTACAAGCATAAACATAGTGTTAAAAGGTGGATACGATTTCCCGGCCACGGTACCAAAAAGTTGATATTACAGAAAAGATGTGAGATAACGGGTGATAATGTCATTCTGCAAAGGATTGGGACTATGACGTGTACTTGTGAGATAACTAAGGTTCTAGGCACTAAAATTTTGAACTCCACAAAAATCCAAGCAACTCATATTCATGAGTGAGCAATTATCATCAATAGATTGAAAGTCTAGCACAAGTACAGTTAACACTATTAAAACACAAGAAAACACAATAGTAAAGGATGTGGCTCAAATTAGGGGATATCACCTTCTAGATGCCTTAACAGCCTAAGAGATTAGGGAAGAACAATTAACCAATGGATCAAACGGTTATGCACAAAGGAATCGTAATCTTTCATGAGCAAGTAAACAAGGATTAGAACAAGGTATTGCTCCACTATCATAGTGTATCAATCCCAAGCTCTACAAGCACTAAAGCATATAAATTCCCGATTTTCCCTACTTTCATAGAAATAAATCGGGTTGAGCAAGATGCGGCTTGAGTTCCTCTCCTTACTAAAAAAGAAAAAGGGGTGGATACAATTCAAGTCCGAATTGAGGAAGGATTTGACACTTTAAGGATGAATTCTGATTTGGTTTTGACTTCATCCTAAACAAGCAACGCGTCTACCTTTATCAAATCACACTTTTAACTATGACTTAATCTCTTAATTATTTATAATATTGATTTAACCCTTAAATTTTTAGTAAAACGGTAAATTTAGTTTTAAGGTTTTTTTTTTTTTTTACAAATTTCAAGGACCAAATTTATCCCTTCACAAATAATTTGAAAATTAAATTTACACAACGCTATAATTGGGCACTAAACGTTTCTTCTTTTTTTTTTCATTTTTTTTTTGGTCCTTAAAGTATAATATATATTTTTTTAATTTATAAATATTTTGTCCTTAATTCACAGAGTTTTCCCTAGAAATATTTTGTCAAACTCATCTTGGCTTGGTCAAAATAAAATTGAGCAATAATTGAAATTATTTTTTCAAGACTTAAAGTCAATGTTTGAGTATAAGTTTTGGCATTATCAAAATTAGGGGAGAAATTGTTAGGAATAAATTGTAACAAATTTTGATATGCCAAATTGTAAATCATATAACCCCCAATTTTATTTTAGTTAGACTAGTCGAGTCATAGATCAAGAAAAGAAAAATTGGATGAAGAAGATATCAAGCCTAAAATCAAGAATTTGCCTAGTGAAAATGGCAAATAGAAGAAGATGTATGCGTGATATGTGGAGGGAATGTTTTCGCTTGGATAAACAAGATATAACTTAAACCAAACATTGGAATGTGACATTCGAAATCTCACATTCCCATGGTTATATTATATAACTTGAACCAAATAACCCCAAATAAGACACACCATAGGGATTCAAACCCACAATCGCTTGATTAAAAGTCAAGTGTTTTATCCATTAAGCCATAGGTGCTAATTAATAAAGTATGACAAAGTAAAACTTTTAGTAGTGTACTAACTCATTGAACCAAAAGTAGTACTACGTATTTATTTAGACTATCATTTTTAAATTAGCGTTATTACAAAATTGCAAACATTAATTTCAGTGGCAATTATAATCAATCTCTCATATATTATCTTGCATTTATATAATTTGAATTACTTATTTAAATAAACAAATCCAACATTCAACTACCGATGTTCATGCATCTCCTGTATAATCTTGAACTGTTATACTTTGAATTACTTATTTATAAATAATCATTGCGTATTATCCCATTCGCAAAACGCGCGTAAAAAACTAGTTATTGTAGATATAGATTTTATAATGGTGACTATGAAGAAAAAGTATGTTAGACTAACTTTATCTCTGAAAGAATGGGACTTGCAAAGTGATGTGGCATACTATGTGGAAAATAATTTTTTATATTATTATTGTTAGTTGTTTATTTGTACTGTAAGCTTGCAAAGTGTAATAAAAAAGGTTGATGCATGGCAACATGTAGCAGTATTTTTGTACTTTTTTTTTTCCAGGTACACTTGGACTGAGTTTCTCAAGAAGAAGAATGAAGTTGAGCAAGTGTTGCCAAAGCTATTGAAGCAACTTCAAAATGAGAAATATTTGCAAATATCAAAAATTCGAACGGATCGTGGAACCGAGTTCGTGAATGGTGTGATACAAGCTTTTTGCAATTCACAAGGAATTTCTCATCAACTATCTGCCGCGAGAACACCACAACAAAACGGTGTTGCCGAAAAAAGAAACCGGACGCTTAACGAAGCCGTACGAGTGATGATTAGTGTCGCCGGTCTCCCGAAAAAGATATTGGGCGGAAGCTATCAACACTGCCTGTTACACTCAAAATCGAAGCATGATCCACAAGCAGTATAGCAAGACGCCATATGAGCTATTCAAAGGGAGAAAACCAAATATTGGTTATTTTCATATTTTTGGATGCAAGTGCTTTATTCATATTAATGATAAATTGCATCTAAAAGCTTTTGACGAGCGTGCAGATGAAGGAATTTTTCTTGGATATTTGACTACCAGCAAAGTATTCAGAGTTTTGAATAAAAGAACAATGGTGGCTGAAGAATCCATACACGTGGTATTTGATGAAAAGTCACACGTCAATATGATGCTCTGGACGAAAATGGCGAGGATATTGAGCAAAATGGTAACAAGTGTTAGATTGATTTTTGTGATACTGATGATACGTGTGAAGATAATATTTTGCAGGGAATGGATGAGTTGGAAATTAACTCTCTAGAAAATCCTATCTCTCATCCAGTAAAAAATGAAGTTAGGGATGCAGTTGGTATTGAAATTGCAAATCAACCCAGGGATGCAGTTGGTATGAAAATTGCAAATCAACCCTTGGATGCAATTACGGGAGAAGTTGGAAATCAATTTCAAAGAGAAATTCGAACCAGTGCTACCACTTCTCAACCAATGGATCCACCCAGTACCATGCACCCATTTGAACCAGACTTAAGATGGCTCAAAAATTACCCACCAGAATTAGTTATCGGAAATGTTCGAGATGCCGTGAAAACAAGATCATCTACCATGGAAGCGTTGTTCACATGTTATCTATCTCAAATTGAACCAAAAGAAGTGTACGAAGCTTTAAATGATCGTAGTTGGATTGACGCCATGCAAGAGGAACTCGATCAATTCAAGCGGAATGACGTTTGGGAACTTGTTCCAAGACCAACGAACCACAATGTCGTAGGAACTAAATGGGTCTTCCGGAACAAAGCAAACGAAGAAGGCGTGATTGTTAGGAATAAAGCAATGCTCGTTGCAAAGGGATACTCTGAGGAGAAAGGAATAGATTTTAATGAAACCTTTGCACTCGTAGCACGACTCAAAGCAATAAGGATTGTCATAGCCTATGCCGCACACAAAGATTTTATCGTTTACCAAATGGACGTGAAAATTGCATTCTTAAATGGACTACTCGAAGAAGAAGTTTATGTCGAACAACCCCCAGGTTTCGAGGTCAAAAGCGAAGGTGACAAAGTCTACAAACTTGACCATATTCTAGACACTCTTTCCATTCATATCCTAGTCAGCCCTCATCGCCGACGCGACCCACTGGATGCGCTCCATCAAGGTTTCCGGAGAAATCCATCTCTGTCCGAACCGAGCTATTCGGTAAAAAAACTAACCGAACTGAAGTATGGTTTAGTTTTTTCTTTAAAATAATAAAAATAATAATAATAATAAAATAGTAAATCTAATCTCCTTGATGCCTGCTTTGTCGTTCAGCTCCTATTCTAACTGTATCCCTTTTAAATATGATTTCTTTATGGCATATTCTCTACTTTGCACTTTTGTTGTTTGCCGCAATTATTTTTTGCCTCACAATTATCTCTAATTTGAGTTATTCTTACAATATTCAGTAATTTCCTTAGTTTCATGTTTATATGCCATTAATGTGCTTCAACATCATTCTAATTTTGATTTTCAGTGCAATGGAAATATATTTTGCCAAGAAATGAAGAATTGTGTCTAAAAATTAATTATACAATATTTGACACTTGTTATCTAAATATTAACTATACAGATGGATGATTCTTCATGTTGTCACCAAAACATTCCAAATGAGCCAACTGAAGAGTCGGTTAGAGAAAAAAGCCAACTGATGTTTAAAGGGAATTAGTACTTATTAGTGTGTTTGAACTTTGGATTGCTATTTTGTTATATAATATTTAGAATTTGGATTTAGACTACGTGAATATGTATTGTTTGATAGTGTGTTTGGAAAATTAGGAAATGATAAAAGTAGGGGTTCTAAAACCAAACCGAATACCAATTCAAACTAATTCCGAACTAAAATCGAACAGAAACCGAATTGAATTATAATTTTAAACCGTATGGTATCATTTTTTTAATATCAAAATATTAAAACCGAAACTGAATCTCAAAACGTCCACCTCTAATCCCAACAAATAGTCTAAAGTCCCATAACAGAAATAGACTCCATGAAATATTTTCCACATATGCTTGACTTGCAACATTATCTATAACTCAGTCCTCCATATTACCAGTAATAGAAGACCACAATTATGCAGACAAACATTTTCCTAAGTTTCTCTAAATAAACAATAATCCCCAACGCAGTGGAGAAAAGTTTTGTACATTATCATGCAATTGAAACATTTAGGATCTAGAGCAAATAAATACATCGCTTTTAAATAAGCTAGAACTATAATATAGACATAGCTAGAAGCCTAGAACTATTGTTACCTGATACATTTTCTCTTAATTAAGTCTTAACAAATCAAAAATATTTTTCTATTGACTATTACTTTTCTCATAGGTTTGAAATAAAATTTATAATCACACTTTTTGTCAACTCAATAATTTCTCATTTGTAGATAAATAATTGAAAAAAAAAAAAAAAAAAAAAAAAAGCAATCCATTTTTATAAAATACAAATTTATAGTTCACTTATAAGGAATGTTATATTTTTATTAATCTTTCAATTGTGACCTTAAAATATTTAATTAAAAATTATTATGAAGGGAAAATTTTAATTTATGCTCCACTATATGCTAACTATCAATGTTACCCCTTAATTATTAGTGGTGTAAATGTTTCCCCTCAATTTTCAAAATGGTACATATATTGTCTCCCGTAGTGTAAATGTTGCCCCTCAATTTTCAAAACGGTAAATATATTGCCCCTCTCGTACCGTACGAGAGGGGCAATATATTTACCGTTTTGAAAATTGAGGGGCAACATTTACACCACTAATTATTCAAGAGTGATATTGATAGTTGACATATTCTGGAGGGGCATAAACAACAAGTTTCCCTTAAATGAATAAATGGTTGTTTTCTTTATACAATTATATCCGTTAAAAGAAAATGAGAAATATCAATTTTGGTCCATGAGTCTGGTGTAACATTTTTAGCTCCTCATAGACAAATCATGGTTGTTCTAAATAAAATTTTTTGAAATCGTAGTTTTGCAAGATCGATTTTGTTATCTGATCTAGGTATCAATCTTTATCTTTTGTATCTCATTACTCAACCTATGTCATTTTAACTCAAGAAGTGCTCAAATATGTCTAGTGTTATTTGATAAAAGATATCAAGTTAGTATAATAGTTATGATTTTTTGAGTTGAAAATGAAATACGTTTTGAATAAAGAAATGTGTAGAAGAAAACTTGCGATCAAAGTAACCTTACAAAATAAGAGTTCAAAATTTTTTGACAAATTTTGTTGTAATGGACTAAAAAGACTACTTTAAGAAAAAATTTTACAACTAAGGGACAAAATCTACAGTAAATATAAATTTAGTAAGTTATTGAAGAAACAATTATTCTATATATTAGATTACTAGTATAAGCTCAAACAACAATGTTGAGATGGTCGAGTTGGTTTAAGGTGTCAGAATACAATTTTCGTCCGAAAGGGCGTGGGTTCAAATCCCACTCTCAACATTTTCAACTTTTACCATCTATTTATGAGGAGCAAGTTTCTCCATATATATATATATATATATATATATATATATATATATATATATATATATATGTGGAACTCGTTAATTATCAACCTATATGCAGCCTACTGATGGTGGTTCAACATGTAAATGAACAGTCAGGACCATCCTCAAGAACAGGCACTGGAGATACATACAAAAGTGTTCTCCAACCTAACCTAATATAGATCACTTGGATTCCCACTTGGAAGAGGATAGGAATGCTGCTGGTGTGTAGAAGGGATGTCATGCTTTTTCATGGAGTAGAAGGGATTACCGTTTTGGCATCAAATCAGAATTATTGCAGTGTTTAATTCAATGATGCAAAATTTTGTAAAGGTATTGCTTCACGTGGCCTTGTTTTCAATGGCGCACCCTTTTTTGCTTCAAAAGTGAAGAGCGTTTAATTTGGGAATGATAATTAGCAGCAACAACATCGACACGCATATGTGATTTGATCTCCGTTTTCTTTGCAAGATATGGCTAATTGGCAGTGGGGGCAACGGCGCTCCGGTAGCTGGACAGAACCGTGGCAGTGGCAGTCGTGATTGTCCGTATCAAAGTCAGCAACATGAGTCGTCCAATTGTTGACACGGGGGCTAACTGCCCCAAATAAGACACACCTAGTGGGACTCGAACCCACAATCGCTTGATTAGAAGTCAAGCGCCTTATCCATTAGGCCATAGGTGCTAATTAATAAAGTATGACAAAGTAAAACTTTTAGTAGTGTAATAACTCATTGAATCAAAAGTAGTATTTATTCTAAAGTTCTCACCCATAAACAAAAGAAGAATCCTTGGATATGAAAATAGGCCAATGAGGGCCTCCACTTTCATAAACATTGACACCTCCCGGTTCCCAAGTTATTCTAAAGTTCTCACCCAAGGGAGTGTCATCCACTGAAGAGCAATCTTTGTTTGTGCCACATATTTCATCAATTTCATCTTCATTGAGCACTTCTTCAATTGGATCATCTTCAAGTTGATCCTCATCACCATTATCCCCTTGCAAGTCTACACTTTCACCCCAACTTGGTGTCTCCATCTCAATGCACTCATCAATAACCGCATCATCTTCATCTTCAAGGTCCTCACCCTCCTTTTCATTTTCTTCAACCACATGACCTTCATTTGGCAAGAGCAACTATTGTAGAACATCTACATTGGAAGACAATTCTTGAACGAGTTCTTGAGTTGTCAAACCTTGTATTTGAGCCATCCTGTTGTCTAGTTGAACTTGTTGCTCATTCAATTGCATAAGCATGTTGGCCATCATGAACTTCATCTCCGGATCTTGATCAAATGGTTGGAATTCTTGTTGAGGTTCTTGATAGAGTGGCTCTTGAGGTTCCCATTGATTATTGGCATATTCAACATCACTTGGTCTCATGTGATAGCCCTCATTGTCAATGTCATCATCGGGTACAATAGTGACTCCCCAACGCCTAGCCAATGCCAAGGTCTCCTCATCTACTCCAAACATCCCAACACTTGGTGAATGGATGTGATGATCATATGAGGGTTGAGTGTCTTGGGGGTATGGTGTGTAATGAATGGGTGAAGGGTATGGATTTGGAGAGCAATCTTGTGGTGGAAAAGGAGGTTGAGGTGGATTGTAGTCTTGTGAACATTGAGGGTATTGATCATAAAAAGCATATTGGGGATCTTGGTATTGTTGAGGATATGGATTATGGCATGGAGGTTGGGAATGACAAGGTAAGTCTTGGTAGGATTGTGGTGGATAAGGATTTTGAAATTGAGCATCATGGTAGCTATTTGGAGGAGGGGTTTGAGTTGTACAAGGACTAATGGATAGGGCATTGTAGTATCCTTGTTGATGCTTGTAGTCTCCATAACCCCATAAGATTGAGAGTTATAATATCCTCATTGGTTCATCTTGCAAAATCTCTTTCAATCAAACAAAATGAAGTAAACTTGAAAGGACGAATAAGCAAATAAAAACAAAACTTAGTCTCCTAAGATTCCCTAAACTCTAATGCAGCAAAAGAAGCAATCACATAGAACCACCAAGTTGCCAATCCCCGGCAACGGCGCCAATTTTTTATGTAGCAAAAATAAGATGTGAGCTCGGGTGTGAAATGTCGTCCTCAAGGGATTGGTGGATATGGCACACAATATGCAATCACAATAAATTAGGCACTAGCATAAGGAAATCAACAAGAAGCTAAGCAAACTACAAGTTTAAGGAAATGATAAGACTAACACATATACACAAAGATAAACACAAAATAAAGAGATAGGACTCAAGCTAGGGAGTATTATCATCTAGATGCTTTAACAACCTAAGGGATTAGGGAGAACAAGTAACCAAGGAAACAAGCGGGAATGCACGTAGGTATCCTAGTCTACGAACCATTCTCGTGATTAATAAACAAGGATTAGAACAAGGAATTGTCCCACTTTCGTGGTGAATCAATTCCAAGCCCATCAAGCATACAAATCATCTAAAGCCCCCAATTTCCCCTATTTTCGTAGGAAGAAATCGGGTCTATGCAAGGGGTGGCTTGGATTCATCACCCAACTCTCGTTGAGGCAAGGAATCCTCCAAAAACAAGTTAATGACTGTGTACATCAAGCATTAACAAGATATAAATACAAAACCTTCACAAACACATGAACCCTAGGTTGGAGTTCTTCCCCTTTTTTTGCAATAATCACAAATCAAGCATCAAGATAGAAAATACAACCCTAACTCAAGTCCAAAAACTAACTACTCATGATTAAATAGCATAAAGAACACAAAAACACTAGCATTAAACATAAATCTTGCAAAAGAAAGAGATAAGGGAAAGAACGCTTCTCTATTGAAAATGGATGGTGGAATCTTGAAATGTTGGAATCCAAGCTTCAAATCCAAGATTACAAGCTTCAAAAGTGTAAAGAAACATAAATCTAAGCCTAATTTAACCTAAAAATATGAAGGGAAGTCAATGAGAGTGTCTAGGGTTCTAACAAGAGTCAAAACCATGTAGAAATGAGAAAAACGAGGTTAAAAAGAGGCAGAGCAGGTTGGGACGGCGTCTTGGACGGCCGTCCACAAGGCAGTACGAATTTTCCAGATTTCTCACTGTTTCGGTTTTGCACTGCCTTGTCATTTCCCATTCATTTTGACCATGAAATATGTAGCAAATGATTTTATTGTCCTCATCAAAGTAGTAGCCCTTCAAGTTGTCTTTAAAATTTAGTTGAAATCACTTCATTTGGACATTCCTATGTCTAGATATGGTCAAATTAGCGAACAGTGGTCAGTTTTGGTCAAAATCTGTAAGTTTGGAACTTCAACTTCAAGGATGATTTTGACCACTTTGGCTTCCTTTTTAGGCTTTGATGTCTGCATATGAGTTTTAGCCCTTTGAGCCTTCTTTCCAATGGGACATGAATCACGTAATTTGGATGTTTGTAGCTCGAGATATGGTCCAAAGACTATGACGTCAACGTGCAGTTCGGGAATTGCAATTGCATGATCGCTTGCTTCTCTTTTGCTTTGGTTTGCCCAAATGACCATGACCATTGAAAGCACCACTCTTAGGCTCCCTTGGAAGTGTTTTGCCCATCCTCTTAGCTTTTCCTTGGCTCCTATGGACTCTAAATGTATCCATAATGTTCCACTTCACTCCAATATCCACCAACATGCATGATATATATTACTCATCTTTGCTTCCAATGCTTTCCGAATCAAACTTCTTGCAAAATAACACAATTTAGTCATAATCTCATGAAATTTAGAATGATCAATATGCAAAATTGCTTAGTGAAAGGGGGAAAATATAGACAAATAAGCACTTATCAGGAAACAATTGTGTTCAACGGTCGATCCATGCATAGGATAGGTAGGGATCACTATACCCTTTGAACCTTCCCTTGTGAAGATATGTTTACTCTACTAGTTGTACGGTAGAACGCGATGTCTTTGAACCGACTGCCGTTTTTGTAGACGATGACATATCTCACACAGGAACCTCCCAACCATGCTCTGTTCTCATGACTGTGCCCGTTTTGGTCGTTGATCACCGTTCCTGGTTCTGCGAGAGTTTCTAAAGAATTGTGCCCATCAATTCTCCTTTGAAGCGGCCCTCACTTCTCTCTTACATAGGTGATTCTTTCCCGAGTATCCCGCATACACACACATGTCAACCGACATTCGAATCATTAAAGCTTCAACGTGCTAGCCTCGTGCGGGAGTCACTGTTTCTAACGAATAGTGGTAGGGAATCCGACACTACATGAAAAATGCACATAGACAACACTAGAAAGACAACGGTTTTTAAGAAAAGTGTTGTCTTTTGTATAAAAGACAACAGTTTGGTCCAAAACTGTTGTCTTTGATGCAACACTTTTGTCAAAGACAACGGTTTTTACTTAACTGTTGTTATAAGTGTGTTGTCTTTGTGCATTTTGTGAAAAGACAACACCACAACGACAATGGTTTTTAAAACCGTTGTCTATGTGCGTTTTTTTTTTTAAAAAGACAACAGTTTTTTTAACCGTTGTCGTTGATGTGTTGTCTTTAAGCGCACTGGAATACACAACACTAGAAAGACAACAGTTGTTTAAAACCGTTGTGTTTGTGCACTCTTTTTTTTTTAAAAAACAACGGTTTTATTTAACCATTGTCGTTGGTGTGTTGTCTTTAAGCGCACTAGAATACACAACACTACGAAGACAATGGTTTTTTAAAACCGTTGTCTTTGCGCATTATTATTTTTTAAAAGACAACGGTTTTATATAACCGTTGTCATTTATGTGTTGTCTTTAATAGCACTTGAATACACAACACTACAACGACAACGGTTTTATATAACCGTTGTCGTTGCGGGTTCTTTATTTGTTTAAGACAACGGTTTTATTTAACCATTGTCTTTGGTATGTTGTCTTTAAGCGTATTTGAATACACAACACTACAAAGACAGCAATTATAAAAAAATCGTTGTCTTTGCTCATCATTATTTTATAAAATAAAAACAAAGATGTTAACAACAAGAGTTGAACCTATAACCTCAAATATAACAAATAAGGTTTAATCAACTAAGTAACACAAACTCTTATGTATTAAAGTGCAACATCTGGTATATAACTGGGTTGCTTTTGTGTTGTTGTGAAAACCAAAACAACAATTTTATAAATTAGGTTAAGGATGCCCCTAGGAAGAATAGAACCCGAGACTTCTAACAAAATAAATTAAGCTAAACCCACCAAGCCACACCAACACTTATATATACTCAAGCGCAACATCTAGGATATAACCAGTTTGCTTCTGTGTTGTCTTTGAGAACCAAGACAATGAATGTATAAAATATCGGTTAAGAATACCACCCGAAAGGATAGAACCTAAGACCTTTAACATAACAAATAAAGCAAAACCCACAAAACCACACCAACTCTTGTTTACTAAAGTGTTACACCTTATCTTTTACCTATAATTTGGACCTTCATTATGCTGTGCAATCATGTGCACCATGCATGGTGCACACTGTTCTATGTTCATAATTACCGAACTATATATTCAATTCATAATTTTTGAAATTCATAATATTCATAATGATTGAACTCTATATTCACAATTACAGAACTTTATGTTCATAATTTTTTATGTTCATATTCCCAATTGTAGAACTCTGTATTCACAAATCACAAAACTATATGTTCACAATTTGATAACTATACAGTTTAGAAATTATGAATCAACAGTAAAGAAATTATGAATCTACAGTGCAGATATTATGAATCTGTAGTGTAGAAATTATAAATCTACTGTATAAAAATTATGAATCTACTGTATTTAAATTATGAATCTACGGTTTAGAAATTATAAATCTACAGTAAAGATTTTATGAATCTACAATATAGATTATGAATCTATAGTATAGAAATTATGAATCTAAAGTATAGAAATTGTAAACCTATAGTATAGAAATTCAAAATCTATAATATAGAAATTATAAACTATTTTGGACCTAGCACCCCATGTAATAAAACTACTATTTTCTTACATCTCGTTCTGTACATATATATATACCCGATACACCCCGGGTAATAAAGCTACTATTTCTTATCTCGCGTTTTGTACCTATATACCCGGTACTATTTTGGGTCTAGCCGCACCGGGTAATAAAGCTAATTCTTAACTCCTATGTATACCTATATACCCGATTTATGGTGGACTCGATTCATATAAAATCATGAATATACTTATTTAATTTGAAAAAAAAGTAAAGGCTTATTATAAAATTAAAATAAAATTTCATTATTTTCCTTATTACCAAATATATTAGTACATAATATATAGTATATAATATATAGTATATGTTAATATGTTATGTTATTTCCCACTCTGTAAAATAAAAATAATTCATTCAATTCTTTCCCTCTTTGCAAATTTTTAATTAGCGCCGATTCTTTCCCTTTTAGCGCCAATATATGTTATTTCCCTCTCTGTAGAAATTTTTACTTAATTATTTTCCTCGACTTTTGTGCTATTAGCTTCACATGATTACGTTCAGCTCTTGTCGCCGCTTCAACCTCACCACTCCAAACCATCCTCCACCGGTCCGTTCATCTCCACAGCTGGCGCCGCTCGTCGTCTCCACAGCAGCCGCCGTCGCTCGGACCATTGTTACAGAGACATCGCTGGTCGGGTTTCGTCTCCTCCATCGCCGCCACCGCTTGGGGATGACGGCAA